TAGGAGACTTATTGAGGGGTGGGTCTAAATTATGCCTAAGAGGCCCCTTAGGTATGTGGACTAAGAGGGACTTTCCTTTTTGGCCCCCGACTTGGGGAAGTGGCCCAAGTGCCTGTACTGGGTCGAGTACCCATTGGACTATTATAGGCCTGTGTTTCCCCGAGGACAAAGGGCCGAGAGATTTCCTTCTCGGGGTGGTGGCAGCTTACGTTACCCCTAGGCTAGTGAGTGTGCTCCAAGAAGGGGGCCAGACAGACGCGAGGCACCCCTAGGGAGGCACTCGGAGCCTGGAAGGTGGTTCGGCGCAGTGAGGTGGGTGGCTCAATGCAAGAGTGCCCCCTACTGGCCTGCCACAGGATGTATTAACAATAACAGCAGTAATATGAACAAGCAACATACCTAAATAGATAAAATTTTCATACAGTTTTAGCCAATGGGAAGATGGCATGAAGCAATTCATTTTTGCAAATGAAATTTCATTTTAACTATGAAATTTTTCCCCTAAGCTTGCCACCCTCTACTGCTTACAAGTCCTATCAACAAAGCTAACCAGCCCTAATAGTCACATGGAAACTCTGCAGTTAAGTGTGTGTGTGCATGTATGCGTGTGCACATGCACACATACTGACCAGAAATAATTTGAGATAACCGAGGAGAGACAGCTATGTCACAACATACATAAAGGGATTTTCATTTTCTTACTGTGAAATTTTTAAGGCTGCCTGCAGAAATTTAAAACAAAAAACCAAAACAAAACAGTGCTTTACTTCAAAACTTTGCATGCTCCTGTGATGAGCCCAGAGCATGCCCAGAAGAAGCACTGGGTTAGTTGGACACAGCTCACCCAATGTCTGTACAGATCGGGTGCTTTAGCGGGGGCTTTTTAGCACTTTATATAACAGTTGATTGAATCAACTTCAGAAAAAAAGCCCCACTGAAGCACCCAATCTATACTTTGACCCAGCTCTGCAGCGTCTGTAACATGCTGCTTCCAGTAAAATGTGAGGGTTTTTTGTTTTGTTTTTTTTTTTAATATCTGCAAGCAGCCTATATGTCAAGATTTAAGGTCAACTTCTCTCAACTGCATACATATATACATACCTTAGCTCTGTACGAATGAGAGCCACCTTGAAAGTTTATGACACCATAAGCATCAGTTGAAGTCTGCTCTGTGTGTTTTTCCACTGACCATTCTTCTATTTCCTGACTCAAATTTTCACCCAGTTTCACATCAGAGTATTTCATGGCAAGACTTGCGGTAAAGCAAGCATGTTGCCTGACCAATCGACCACAGCAGCACCTACACAGGATTGATGGATGTTATTTATAATAAAATATAACCTGAATTAATGGAATAATTAGAAGAAATTAAAGGTTTCTGTAAATCCTGTAAATTTCTGTACACCTGTAAAGGAAGTTTCTAAAATTCAGTTACACCGATCTGGAAGAAAACCTTTGGATAAGTCTGTTGCATCAAGACTGACAAAATAGAAAAAAAAAATCAAGCCTCATAACAGATATGACATGTAGCACAAAATCTCACTTCATATCTCTAATTTTTTTCAGACAAAAGAAATTCTGATAACAGAGCAAAAGTTGACTACAGATTCATAAGAATCACATAAAATGCTGATGCGTCTCACTCAGAACCTTAAAAACCACACAGAACAAGCAGTAAACTGGGGGCCAAATCATACTATAAGTATTCCTAAGGAGGAATACACATCCTCGTCAATTAGCAAGGAGTC